TAATTATTGTTATTTATATATTATTGTTATTTATGTATCTAAATAATTATTGTTTTTAAAATAATTATTGTAATTTATATGTCTAAATAATTATGTTAACTTTACTCTAAATAATTTTTGGCCTGAATGAGGGTACTTCAAAAAGTTCATGGAAGTATTTGTGTTATCTTTCAATTCCATTTTTTCATGAGCTTTTTGGAGTACACTCGTATAAGCATTAAGCTATTTCATCAATGTAGATTTCTTTTTTTGTTCGCTCTGTATACAGAATTTATCCTTGTTATTTCCCTTTTTTCATAATTTTCGTAAGACAGAAATCAAATGATTAATTCAAGGATATAACCCCTACTAAACATAGGCAGCATTGGAAAATTACCCTTAAAAGCAGTTGTGCCCAGTTATATTTTCCTTGGGAGATTTACTGAGTTCATCAGATCTACAGTTTATCCTACTTATAGTATATCTCAATCTCTCTTTTCTCATGGGAATTTAAACTAGTCATTGGCTTTGGAAAGACCTAAAAATGTTCCTGTAAGGAAACGTACTGGCCTTTGTTGTTGTTGTTGTTTGGATAAAGGGGGAGCCACAGAGGCTTGGCTATAATCACATTAGGTTAAGTACTTTGTTGTTGTTGTTTGGATAAAGGGGGAGCCACAGAGGCTTGGCTATAATCACATTAGGTTAGAGTTTCTGAATATTGTGGAATTAATTATTAAAACATACTTTTAAAATTTTATTTGACCCATCAGGATTTCTCAAGCAAGTTCTTGTTATGGAGTGATACAGAGGAATTCTTTATTTTTAACTCTAGTGCCAATGAAAAACTGTGCGACTGTTTCAGAATATAATAGAGTCTCTGAAACTGTGAACATTAAAACAAAAGCAAAGCAAACACGTTGTAGCATGGTCATTTTGCTTTTGGAAAACTGTTATGTAGCATTCTGCCTTAACCATAGAAAGAAAAATTTTTTCAGTTCTGAGTTTTGTGACATTAGAAGGTTACTTAATTTTGTTGTTCATAACTTTTTAAATCTTTGACATTATTGTCACCACTTTTCCTAACTAGTTTGAGGATTTAATGTAAACAATTTTAGTTTCTTGGGAGAAAATTGTTTTACCTTTAAATTATTATTTGTAGATTATCTCACTTTAATTTACAGGGAAAAAAATTCCACTTGCTTCCTTTCCTTGCCCAATTTGTTTATTTTTTGCTGAAGTTTTGTTGTATACACAGAGGTAACTAAATTTTCAGTAAATTTAGTATTGCTTTATGTGACGGAATTGAAGGTAAGTCACTACATGCTGAGTTGATTTTGAGAGGTACCACAAATAATATACATGCTTACCTCTAAAATGTGACTCTTCTGATGTCTCCATAGTAATTAAAAAGCCACAATCAAAAACACCTCCATAGTAATAAAAAGCCACAAGTGCATTTGGTGAGGGAATGGTAAGAGAACACTTTTATTGGCAAAGAAGGAGAGGTTCACTTAAGCTACTTTGAAACCGAGTTCATTGGTTTCAGAGTCTCAAAGCCAGATTTGTCATCAGTTCTTTGGTTAAGATGCCGTTGCTGGGCAAGTTTCTTTCAGAGCATCTTATCTGAATTACTGCAATTCGAAAGAATGTCCAATGATAAATCTTGTCACGGAAATATGTGCATATGTGCAAAGCAGGATATGGGTGAAGGACATGAAAGGATTTCTGGTGGGTTTTAGAAAGTCCTTGGAAACAGTTCTTATCTCAGACAAGCAAGCATGATCCCCCTTCCTTCTTGCCTTTCCTGGCCCTATTTTGTCTTAGTCTGAACAAAAGTGATTTCCTCAATTTTCACAGGTGATTATCTCTTTTCTGAAGAGTATAATATTCTTTTGCTTTTTACTTTGAAGTTGACCATGCAGAGAGAACTCCTAGAATCTGAATACTGAATACCAGCATCAACTCGAAGGACTTTGCTGATGACTAAGTCTGTTTAATTGTTGCTTTTTATAGCAGAAGGATAAATTAGGAGTGGTGTGTAGGTGTAAATGTGTACTCTTCATAAATTTCAAAATTAAAATGAGATTAGTGTTCCAAAGGCTTTTTTGTGCTATATATTCATTCTTACATATTTTTCTTTCTTAATTTTCTATTACCAGCTAATAATGCAGCGGATTTTCTAACAGTGAATTTCCTGCTTCAGGATTCTAAAAGTTTGTTACATGCTTTTAGCACAAGGTCAAATTATGATGGTACTCTTCCACAGGCCTTTGCTCAAGTAAACAAACTGCTCCAGACGTTTATGGAGGTAAGATACCTTTGGAATGCTGTGTAGAGTAGCTAAAAGTGTATTTAGCTGATAACACCAAGGTCCAGGGTTCACAAAAACAAATGTGTTTCTCAGACAACAGTGTGTAAAGGATAATTTAATTCTAACTTATTCTAACATACTAAAGGTGTTAAGTAAACATTAAGTGAATTGAATAAAGAATAAGCAAATCTTATCACGAGTTATAAAACACACATCCTTTTATGGAAGCTGCGTCACAGCAGTTATTGGGATTTTATATTATTTCACTTAGGATAGAAGAAAGCTGTGCATTGTTGTTTGACTGTTAGTGTCCAGTGCCTAGGCCAGTGGATCTCACATGCTTTGAAAACACTTAGGAAATTTTTTTAAACATGTGGATGCCAAGACTCTCTCAAACCTTACTGAATTACATTTTTGGCAGTGGTGCCCAGAAATGTTGTTGTTCTTATTTTACTTTTTATTTTGAAATAGTCAAACTTATGAAAAAGTTTCAAGAGTAGTACGAAGAATTTCCATATATATCCTTTACCCTCATTCCTCAAATGTTAACATTTTATCACATTTGCTTCGTTTTCCCTATTTATTTACCTACCTGTCTGTCTATCTACTGATTCGTACACAGTCTATTTCTGAGCTGTTTGAGAGCATATTGCAGGTATGATGTCCCTTTCCCCTAAATAATTCCAAAAAAAGGGGTATCTTATGTAACAAGAAATTAACATTGGTATAATACACTTATCTAATCTGTAGATCTTACTCAAGCTTTACCAACTGGCATATGAATTCTTTTTTAACAAGTTTCCTCGTGTGATTCTTATTAGCTGCACTAACAATGAAGACTTTTTACCCATTTTAAACTTAATCTATGTAAATTTTGTCCCCAGTAACACACTACTTCTACAGTCTTCTAGTTTCACAGCTAGAAAATTCTGAGAGTTTTATGTACCAGAAGAGACCAAAAAACCTCAGTATCACAACTACTAGAAGAGGTATTAACGGAACTTTTATCTCATATAGATATTATATTGTCGTTATTCTCTGAGGAACTGAATTATCCAGGTTTTCCTCACTGATTTTTCATGGTCATAGAGACCCACTACTTATGAAGTAATCAGAGGATCAGGTGATAGTAATCTTAGTCATAGTTGGTGAGGAAAGAACTTATTTGCTAAGAGTATCTCATGGAATTAAGGAAGCATCTTTTTAATAAACTAATAGGAAATACATGATAATTCTTGAGGAAGGAATTGAGTTAAGGGGTCAAATGATCTTTTGGCTTGAGAAGACCAAAACATTGGTGTTTTATTTTTTAATGGCAAGAGTGACTTTTAGAACTATTAGTAGGAAAGAAGGGAACTGAGAATTCAGAGGGTTGCAGCTTGAGTACAGTACTTGGAGATTGTGTTGGAAAGGATATATTATCTTTTCCCATCACAGAATTGAGTCCTAAATCATATCATATCAGATATAGTGAACAAGATGAAAGTTCAGGATACTTAAAGACTTAACAGTCTTTGAATTAAGATGATTAAGAATAAAACAAAATTTAGGATTGATTGAGATAAAATAATAATGTTAAGTTTTTAACCTAATTTCATCAATTGGAAACTTAGAGATGGGAAGTACCATGAAATTGTGATGTTAAAATTTATTGTTGTTTATCAGAATGATATGCCTGCTATATATATATTGCCCACTGTGTACTTAAAACTATTGAATTTTTAGTAAGTCATTTATTCCTGGATCCTGAATTTCCAGTTGCTACATTAGTAAGAGATTCATGAAAGTGAGTAGCAAAGAATCTAGCATCCTCATTAGTGCTTTTCCCTCAACACTTGCCATCAGTGTGATTGCTTGAAACAGCCTGAAGTGTTTGTCTAAGTAAACCAGGAGCATTGTGATTTAGCATGGTCCCTTAAAATACCCTTTCAACAGGTGTTGTTTTGTAGAATGCATTAGATTTGATATATATCTTAAATACTTAGTTATATTTCAGTAACTCGAGCACCAAAAAGTTTACCTCCAAAGACAAGGTAACTCAATATAAGTGACTGTAAAAAAATCCACCTAATCTCAATTATCAAGTGTAGAAAATCAGGAAAAGAGAAATATTCATTATTTGTTTGCTTCTCAAAGGCTTCTGAGAAACTAAAATGGAAAGATTAATATTACCATTTTCCATATTTTTATGTAAGTGGTGTAGAAATAGGAAAAGAATATATGCATTTTTATTTTATAATCCTTCCAACCACCAAAAATTAGGACTTCCTCTACCAAGATGATAGAATAATTAAAATCAGTCTTGTTAATAACCTTTAGAGTTATATGCTTCGGGGTCTTGTGTTTTTAACCTCTAGTTATTTAAACTCTGTGAACCTTAATTCTCTCTTTTGTAAAATGATTATAGTAATAATCCCTGCCTTAGAATTGTCATGAGATTTTAATTAAGTTAATATTTGTAAAGACCTTAGTGAATATATGTGGTGATTTAAAGAAAAATTATATTAGGACAAAATATGTCTTTCCATTAATGTGTATTTATTAAGTTCATAATTTAATGTAAATGGGCAAAAAAGAGAGGAATCATCTCTCTCTCTCTCTCTTTTTTTTCCTGCTCCAGAAGATAGAAGAGGGTTATATTTACTTTTACAATTGGAGAGAGATCATAACCTCATTTGTAGTCAGATTGCTGAAGGTCAAACCCTGTTTGTGCCTCTCAGCATTTGTGTGACCTTGGATGAGTTACTTAACCTTTCTATGCCTCAGTTTCTTTAATTATAAAATATCTGTTTGATAGGGTAGTTGTGAAGATTAAATGAGCTAATAAATATAAAATTCTTAGAAAGTTCCTTTATATAACAAATGCTTACTAAAAATATTAACTGTTATTACTGATAGTATTAGAAATTGCATTTTTAAAAAAATCGAATAAGCATAAACTAGCAAACTCATGGAACTAACCTTTGAAATCAAGAAGGAAACTTAAGGGCTGGCCTGGTGGCGCACTGCTACAGTGTGCCGCTTGGGAGCGCGGCGGCGCTCCCGCCGAGGGTTCGGATCCCACATACAGACCGG